TAAAGTAATAATTTATAAAGTAACAATACGCCAATCCGAACAAACAGGGGGAAAGAGGAAAGAAATTAAAACAGAGGAGAGAAAATTCATCATAGAAACGAACAAACTGGGGAAAAGAGGACAAAAATGAAAACAAAGACAATACCAACTTTGCCAAATTGTTGGCAAACCCAGAAAATGGCAAACACAACTTCATATGCCAATCCGAAGTATGTAAGGCAAAAAAAAAGGTAAACAATTTGTGCAAAAGGGGAAAACGAACAGATTTTGTACATGGGCAAAATATTGGACTGCAGGAGATGTTAACTCTTACTTTGGGGGGGACGAGCTGAAATGGTGAAGATCTGTTCAGCGGTGGTGTAGATCTGGACACCGGCTGGTCCTTCCCGCCCGGTACTGGTGATGCTGTAAGGGAGAGGTGGTGGCGGAGCTCCAGTGTGAGCGTGACGGACAGTCACGTGTTGGGACAGCCTTGGTGATGTTGTGAGGGGGAGGTTGTGGCGGAGCTCCGGCAGTCGGCGGTGTGAGCGTCACTGACTGTCGCGGCTTCAATAAGGAGTGTGTATGCATGTGTATGGAGAAGAAGATGAGATGTTGAGGTGAGAAGTTATGTGAGGTGCGAAGTTATGTGCCCTAACTGTCCTTTATTTGTGTATTCTGCGAGGACCGGACAAAAGAAAGGAAATTCGGTCTTTTTGCCTCTAACTAGTGAACTTATTTTTCCTGCCCCTTGGCTTTTGTAAATAGTGTAAACTTTTTTACTTTTTTAGTAACTTTTTGACTTTTTGTCTTTTATAAGATATCTCAAACAAGCACTAAATTTTGATTTGATAAAAAAAATAAAAAAATTCATTATTTTCATATAATTTATCTTTTTGTAGAGTAGAAATAATTTGTAATATATATTTTAATCCAACTAATTTTTAATTTTTTAAAAAATATTTAGAAAACTATTTTAAAAATGAAACCAAGTAGGCGTTAGTTTACTAACTAGCATATCAATTGATGATATGACATAATTTAAAATATTTTTGATATTTGTAATTTATATAATGAGTGAGATCAATAATAATGTCATAACTAGTATTGATACACTAATTAATTTATTAATTAGTGCATGTAACACCACCAAAATATTGATGATCACTACTTGAGCACCTGTTATCTTTTTCCTTATTAATGCCCTACAATGTAGGTCAATGCAGGTATAAATACTATACAAACTTATAAAATTTAAATTTCAATCTCACCATCCTATTAAGACCTTTGTGATCCACCATAAATTTTGTTTCGATAATAGGAATTGTTTATTTTATGAGACTTTTTGTATATTATTTATTAAAAAAATTAGATTGATTTGATAATCGTAACTTTTTATTTTATTGCGTTCGTTTTTAAAAAAATAAATCATATAAATCATCAGTAGGGGTGATCATGGATCCGTCCAACCCGCCAAACCCGACCAAACCTGATTGATTTTGGATGGATGCATGCCTTTTGGTGGATAGATGCGGACGAAATATTTCAAAATTCACGGACACGGCTCCGCCGCTATATAAAAGAAGGCATTGCCTCAACAACAAGATCAGCGATCTGCTCGTAAAAAAAAAAAAAAAAAAAACTGCTTAGAATTAACAATATAGAGTCGAAATAATAAAATATATATTTTTGCGAAAATAAAAGATAATACCTAAAACATATGCATGTGTGGTGCCGTGACATATTATATACAAATAATAAATATTTTTTCAGATTATTAGTCATTGGAGATTGTAAAAGTTATAAATTATAATTCAAAAAAATACGCAAAATTTGTAAAGTCCAAACCGCTAAACTAATCGCATTCATCAATTAACCCTCACGGCCCGTTCAATCCGCATCCGCCAAATCGATGAGCGGATGTAGATTGATTTTTTTCAATCCACCTAATTTTAGACAGATGGCGGATGGAATGCCACCCAACCCAAATCGATCCACGATCACCCCTTATCATCCATAAAAAAAAATAAAATTAAACGATTCAATAATCATAGTATCTTCACTTATTTTTTACAATATACTTATCGTTCATTTTTTTCAAAAACAAACATAATAAAATAATTTTATAATTATCAAATCGAACTAATTTTTTTAATTAATAATATAGACCGAGGACTCTATAAAATAAACAGTTTAAATTATCAAAACATGACCCGTGATAAGTCCCATGAGGCCGAATATGACAATGAAGTTTAGTTTAAATTTAAACTAGAGGGAAATCGAACACAATTTTAAAATTTAAAATAAGACTCACTTTAATTTTAATAATATGATAGGGTATCATGACAATAATTTTAAAAAATGCGTAATTTGTTAGTTTGTGCAATATTAATCAATAGCAGACCATAAGAATTGCAACATAAGAGAATCTTGGTAAGTGTTAGAAAGAGTGCAATCAGACTAGGTGCATTTAGAAAGGTTTAAAAAAAAAAAAAAAACTTAAAAACTGAAAAACTGGATAGTTATCAAAAAAAAAAAAAAAGTGAAAAATGAAAAACTGTATTTTCCTTTTTTTCGATTACCATTTGCAATTTGGCAATGCTATCATGACTACGTAATGAAAAAGCGTAGTTTAAGGATACATAGCCGCCATTTGGGAAGTGAGTTGTCTTTTTAACTTTTTTGACTATTTTAACTTGGGCTTAAAAGTTTGGTTTGGGAAAGATTTTTTGAATTTGACTTTTTTGAATTTTTTTGTGAGAGAAAAATATAATGATTATAGGTTGGATGTGATGTTTTGTTTGTTATGGCTAAAATAGCCTATTTATTTTTTGTAGCTAAAATAGCCAAAAAAACCCAAACCATGGCTTCCCAAACGAAGCCTAATTAGTTATTGAAAAATATAAAAATTTGAGTGAAACAATCTCTTTAAAAGTGAGGTCTGTTGCTGTGATGCATAATTAAGGCATCATCTAAGATGTTCTAAAAAAGTATATTTTTAGATTTATTAGTTTATATGAGTTAAATTTGAATTGAATTTGATGTAATATGTTAAAGAAGTAATGTAATTTAAATAAGATAATATAACTTAAATAAGATAGTGATTTTTTGACTTTTATATTATTTAATGCACCCTAAATCAATTATTTTTTGTAACTAATTTTTATATTCATAAATTTTATAAATACAAAATGAGAGAGGAGTCTGTGGATTCCACACAACCCAAAAGTGGTTATTAATTTAGAATAATGTTTGAGAGTCACAATTTGTGTAGCTCAAATGGCTCAAAACGACGTCATTTTGACAGTTTTGAACCATTTGAACCACAAAAATTGTGGCCCTCTACCATTGCCCATTAATTTATTAGTCCCTCATTAGACACGTGGGATAAACATGGGTAAAAATTATTGGGGATTGTGGCAAGGGAATCATTTCATCGTAGGACTTTAGGTTTTGAGTAATGATTGAGCCCAACTTCACAATATTTTGGCACCGTTTGAGAAAAAGATTTGTAGTTTGTTCTTTTGTTTTTTTTTTTTTTTTTTTTTTTTTTTTTTGATTATTTTAGTCATAAAAGATAAAATAGATTATTTTAATCACAACTAACAAAATATCACATTCAATCTATAATTATTATATTATTCTCTCACAAAAAAATCAAAAAAATCAAAAAGTCAAAAAATCATTCCCAAACCAAACTTTTTAATTCAAGTTAAAATAGTTAAAAAAATCAAAAAGTCAACTCACTTCCCAAATCAACCCATAAGATTTTTATAAATCTAAATTATTATGAACTTTAGATATATATATATATATATATAAATGTATCCCACACATATATATATATATATATATATATATGAAGGACCAAAATCACTTTAGAAGTGTAAAAATAATCCACAAAAATTCTTTTACTTTTGATTTTTTTTTAGAGGGCAAATTGATAAAAGACAAGATATTTTGTACAACTTATCTCAATTATTTATAGTTTATTTTACTATGAGAATTTGACTAGGATTATTTAGTATACTTTGTGTTTATAAATTAATTAAATAAGTTAAAAAATTAATTATCTAAAAATTAAAAAAATATATCTCTAACTCTTACTTTTTGATTATCGTCTTTTAGGTTATAATAAATTATATTTATTTATATCAGACATTCTGACTATCGGACGATGCTTACGTGTTATTTCTCAATCCAAATACCCTTATTTGATTAAAAGTTGAGATGCCTATAAATAAGTTATTATTATACATGGAATTCTAATCAGGTTTAAAACAATGTAAATTGTCTCTCCATGCTGAAATACATCATCAAAACTTAACAAGAAGATAATACTAAAGCCCTCCCAACTTCACCAAGTTTGTCACTAGTCACTGCAATTATAACTCATAGAGAACATAACCCCTCAGTTTGCCATCTTGCATTCTACAGTGTCTGCAAATCATGGGTCATTGAGTCCAGCTACGGATATACCATTTTCTACTGTATTTTCTACCGTCTACTCACAATAGGAGTAGGTCCACACATCATAATAGTGTGAGCCCCACTGCCATTGTGAATCATCAGTAAGAAAATGAGATAGAAATGACGTGTCCCTAATCTTAATCTATAAATATACTTCAATTATGCAAACAATCAGAGAATCTATCCAAGCTGCATCGTGAAAGAACAGATATTATAACCAACGCAGCAAACAACAAAGAACAAATGGAAAAATATAAAAGCGACTCCCGTCAACTCGTCACAGATGAACCAGCAGGTACAGAATTCCAATGGCTGCCTACCCATTAAAAGAGATCTAGCGATTGAGTCTTCACAACCAGGACAGCTATGAGCTCATGATGTTAGGGTAAAACCTAGCCTTCAAGTTGGGTTAGTAACAAATTACCCCAATAAGAAGACTTCATATTGTGATTATATATCTCAGTAGCACACGAAATTCATTTCTAACATAATGTCCATGTGAAGAACACTCGCTCATCATGCCTAAACTCTATGCAGTACTTCTCAGGCGATAACATATCAACAATGTATTGAATACAAAGATATACAGTACAAAAGAGATCTAGAAATAAGTGATATAACAATGAATTAATGAAGGCAAGTATACATCTAACAATTATCCGAACTATATCAATTTTTCTACATGCATATATTCTAATACTGCACCCTTTAATTCTATTACTAAGTGTTTACATAGTTATCTTCCAAATTGAGCACCCTTACCTGGTCTACCACTATATACCTTCCATCCCATGCAGAAGCTCGGAAGAACAGAGTGACATCCAGAAAAGAACAGCAAAGAAGATCTGCATGGCGTCTTGCAAGTTGCAACCTAGTTATCTTCTAAATCGAGAACCCTTGCCTGGTCTACCATTATTTTTTCCATCCCATGCTGAAGCCCAGAAGAAGAGGGACATCCAAAAAAGAACAGCAAAGAAGATCTGCAAGGTGTCTTGTAACCTAGACAAAGTTGCTGTAGGACCTGTTGCAGGAACAACAGAGAGGCTAGTGAAAACACAAAGACATGTTTATAACATAAACTAAAAATTAGAAAACAAGCCCTTTAAAAGCTTTAAGTTTATTCTTAAAGATGCGTTTAAATATCCCATAAAATTACATAGCACATAAAACACATTCAGTAACATTTGTGCAGTCATGCATGAAATTAAAAATTGATCACTGTCATATGCAGTAATGACTCCATACCAAAGGATAGCTTTGTACTTTGAACGCCATAGAGCACAATGGAAATATTGCATCATCATGATGGATCAGTCTATCAGTCGATCAATTGATAATGGGCTGTAGCAGTTGTCCCCACTGAGGTTTGGAAAATTGAAATGTTATATATGGTTTAAATATTTTTCAAAATTGTCCCCACTAAATTTTTGAAAATATAATTTTTTACCTATAAATTGATTTTTTATTTTTATTATTACTAATATGCTCTCACTAAAAATCAAAAATAATTTCTATCTATGATTTTAAAAGTATTTTTTATTTGTCCTCTAAAATTTGGATTTTGCACTTCTAGAATTTCCAAACTGGCCATATATATTTGAGAATTTCTGCATTTAAGATTTTGTATATGAGATGAGATTGTTAAATACGAATAAATTCCATATATGGTTTTGACCCCCTGAACAAAATCTCAGCTCTACACCTCCAGTTGATTTTCACTAACTAGAATTTCCAAGGACACCTAACATTATATGTTGGTGGGCTGAAGCCTTCTTCCGTAAAGCATGAGGTTTTGAAACTCCTTTAAAAAATTGTATCTAGCCCCTCCTAGCATTTATTATCTCCTAGTAGGTAATTCAGTTCAGATTTTTCTGATGAAAAACAACAATGTGATACCCTTTTATCTGAAGCAATGATGTATTTAGTTATGTTAGAGAGACAACTTATTGTAGGAGTGCCGTTAAAAGGAAAAGCATTCTCTCAACTTCATCAAAACTAACATTTTCTCTCTAACACAACTGCAAAATCATATGAAAAATGCCTTATACCTAGGGGTGCAACTCGGGCGGGCTCAACCCGAGCAACCCGAGCCCAGCCCGAGTTTTTTTAGGGCTTGGGCAACTATATCTTGTAATCTGGTGTCAGCCAGTGGGGGCGCGCCACCTCACTGGGGGTGCGACCCCCACTGGGGGTATTTAGCACGGTTGAAAATCATATTTTCTTGTGATTACAACATCTCCAACCCTCCACTACTTTTTTCATCCAGCTTGATTTGATATGAACTACTCCAACCCTTTCCTTAAATTTTCATCAAAATCTTATTTAAAGTTAGCTCTCTTATCTAAAATTTCCCTTTCATTAAATTTGATGGGGAAAAAAAAAATCATTTCCAATGCTTTATCTTTTTAAATTTGATGAATTCTTAATTTGATATAAAAACATGTTTCTCTCTTGACTTGATAAACATTTGGTGAAAGGATTGGATATGGTTTTTGAGTACTTTTTCATGAAATTTACATTCAACAAAAAAAGGGTTAATGATTGGAGATGCTCTAAGGTCAATCAAGTTCAAAATTACTTCTAGACAAAAATAATAGCTACTTCATATTTTGAAAAGTGATCACTTTGCTCGCAACTGAGTTTCAATAAGTACCACTAAACACAATCTTCACTACTGTTCAAGCCATTATGACATGAATTTTTATATGATGGGCTGGTGTCAATAATCAAAATACCCATTTTCTCTAGCCAAAAAAATTCAAGATGAGGCTAAACTCTAAAATTAGATATATAAGCATACAAATAACAAACTAAAAACACTTCCCAAAATACAATTTTGGATATTCAACATTCTCCACACTTCTAAGTTCTAACCCTCAAAATCAGCTATTAATTTTAATCACAATAAAAATTTTCATTTCCAGAACACACATGCGCAGCTATTTCAGCATAAATTTACAAGAATATTCCCATCACTACCGACAAGAAATCCAAAAAAAAAAATAAAATCAACACATTTGAAACCGTGAACAAAAAACCCTAGACTAAAGTTCAACAAAATCAACATATATCATGAAATTACAAAGCATAAGTGTGTTAGAAACAGTAGTACCTTCGGATGGAGTTGGGTCGTCGCCGGTGGGTGGGTCAGGTTGAGGCGGCGGAGGGCCGCCGGGACTAGCGGCGAGGCACCGGCAGGGAAATCGGTGGGGATTTGGAGATGAACGGTGGAGATGAATCGTTAAAGGAAGATGATTTTGATGAGAGAGGAGACGAAGAGGAGGTGTTGAAATGGTACTCGTGGCGGGATAGAAACTGAGTGCCATTTTTGGGCCAATTGGGAGTTAGGTTTCGGGTTGCCTTTTATAGGGCTAATAAACTGGGTCGGGTTGGGTCCGAAAAGAGGTAGGGGTTGTTTGGCTTCAAGCTTCCCAACCCAACAATCTTTTTTTTGTTTTCTTTTTTGGCATGGCTCTTCAAAGACTCAATTTGATCGGAATAATTGTAAGGAGATCTAACTTTCTTCCATGATCTGGATTGGAAGTTGTTCTTCACCCCCAAATACATCCGATTTTTATTTTGATGATTTAAATTATTTATTTTATTAGATGATATCACTTAAAAAAAAAATTAAAATAATTATAACTTATTCAATTTATTAAATTTGTTTTAAAAATAAATACGCGACAAGTGTGTTTTTAAAAATAAATCATTTATTTTTTTGGTGATAAACGCGATAAATTAAATAAATTATAATTATCGAATCAATCTTTTTTTGTGTGGATATTAATATACATAATTAATCCTACAAAATGAACAATTTAAATTATTGAAACGAGATTATTAATAAATTCCACTAGACCAAAAAGCATGTTCGGATGGGCCCCGTTTGTTTTCAGAGATAGAATGAAGCAGATCGATAGTGAGGGGATTAATAGTGAGAGGATTGTTAGTTAGGAGATTGATAATAAGGGAATTAAGTAAAATTATGTTTGTTGTGATGATAGTTGCTAGTGTAGGGATTGTCAAATTATTTTTATATAAAATAATAAAAAAATACAAAAAAATTAAACATTAATGTTTTACAAAAAATACCCAACATGTAAAAAATTTTAAAAAAATAAAATAAAATAAAATAAAATAAAATGTCAGAAAAAAATAAAACAAATAAAATAATAATTTTTACTTAACAAAAAATAAAAAAAAATTAAACATTAATGTTCAAAAAAAAAATGCCCGACATGTAAAAAATAAAATAAAAAATAAATAAAAATAAAAAATTTCTAGTCTGCCGAACTATTTTTCTAATACCAAATCCTAGAGGCCCATCCGAATCCCCTTGGAGAGGCCCATCTCAAGCCGGAGCTCACTATTAATTCCCTCCCCATCTCTCAAAACAAACATAATATTAACGGATCTCACCTCACTACTAATTCCAATCCCCTCTCTAACTCTCCAAACAAACGGGACCTATAGATGGTAGGGAAGCTCCATTGATTCCTTAAAGATTATTTGAAACATTTTTGACATAACAAAGTGATCTTCACTATATAAAGCACCATTCCCATTAGTTTTGATCAACTAATAATAAGTATAGTTAAGACATGGACCGGGCTGGATAAAATTGGGAAGCTGGGTTCCAAAATTTAACCAGTCTAGCCAAATTTGGATGAAAATTGCAATAGAAAAAAGTAGCATTGTCAATGTTGCTTTTAATTACTTGCAACAGAGGATTTAGAGGAAGTCAATTGAAAACACTCGGACATACTGGGACATATTTAATTGAAATTTTACATAGTTGAGTTCGAAATACAAATTTCTACGTTCTTACAATTTGGCTATCCATTAGTTGCTTGCTAAACCTTATTCAAAATTATGATAAGAGTAATGCTAGAGATTCCAAATATTCTATCAAAAATTTTATCAAATGTCTTACATGGGTGTGGGATCCACACAATGTGGGTCCCATGTGGGTCTCACACTCATGTGAGACATTTGGTAAAACTTTTGGTAGAATTTTTGAGGCCTCTAACATTTTTGTTATGATAATCTCCAATTTTGTGTCAAATTTTTGTGTCAAATTCAATGCAAAATTTGACAAATCAAAATTACTTGTTCGCTTCTATGTTTCCATACTTCTTGTTAGTTCATTAAATTATTCATGTCTGTCAAAGTAACTGTGTCATTTATGTCAACATACTAAACTCACAAAAATAATATTTTGATCCAATGCTCTATACGTAACACAATCCATTGTAAAAAAATAAAAATAAATAAACAATAGTTTAAATGCGTCAAAATGACAATTGTACATAGAAATCAATACTGTTAAAAATTTAACATTTTAACAGTATAGCATATCAAATTATAATTTGAGTATTATCATTTTGCCTATGATTAGTGATGTTGCTTTAAGATGATCTTTAATTCTCAATCACTATCAGTCTTAACATTTTAACAATATAGCATATCAAATTATAATTTGAGTATTATCATTTTGCCTATGATTAGTGAAGTTGCTTTAAGATGATCTTTAATTCTCAATCACTATCAGTCCCCAAAATGGGAAATATGTTCTTACCTTTTTTTTGGGGGGGGGGAGGGGGTTGAGAAATTTCTGTTGGACAATTTTTAATATATTCAAAAAAAGGATTAAAGAAAGGAGAGAGACTGTTTGATTATAAAAATTAAAACAGTATATAAAAAAATAAAACAAAATAACAGATTCTTATTTTATCACAAAAACAAAATCAAAATTTGAAAAAGAAAAATTAATAAAATAGAAAAGTAAACTAATCACTTACCTTATTATTTTCTCGAATAAATTTTTTGATTAAATCCAGTATTTAACATGGTATCCTTAAGATAGATTTGTCCTCTCCTCGGTGTTTTAATATTATGGACGTCTATTTCCCAAGATAAAATTATCAACAACGAACAGTAGCAGTACTATAAATTATTCGCACAATGAACACACTTTGTGTTTGTACACTTTCTCGTAGAAAAAATAAATACAGCAAATTGCAGAGAGCATGCATAGAGCAAAGCAGAAGCAAGAATGAAAATTGAGTGCAAAATCCAAACGAGGGATTACCTATTTATAGATGAAATAGTGGCTTTTCAGAACAGGGTTCAACAAGTAAAAACCTATTCGGAATAGTGTTGAAGAGATAGAAACCTATTTGGACAGATATAACAGGTATAGTACTTGTTCAGGTTTAAATTTGAACAAATAAACCTGTTCAGGTTTAATTTAAACAGGTAAGAACCTGTTCAATAAAGAGGAATAGGTGCATTGGACCAAACGAATTTGAATTTTAAACTGAAATTCAAATTCTAAATGATAAGAATTTAACTTTAGAAAAATAAAATTCAAATGTTTTTGGCCCAAAAAAGATAAGTATTGGACTGGACAAGCCCAACCCAACCTCATATCATGCACCCAATCCCAGCCTGGCCCGCCTGGCTGACCGAACAGACGGCGGCACGCGTGTATGTTTGTTTTGGGTCCAATGGGTCTAGCCCACTTTGCTCATAACTTTACACTTTCACAAAACTTGGGTACCCCTCGGGCCCTCCCCAAGTTGCAAACCCTAGACTTATAAACCCACATAAAGTTTGCCTACCAAACCAATATGGGACAAACCTTAACTTCAACCTTTATGGAAATTCCAACAACAACACTATTTTCATGGAGCTCATTTTGGCATCAATTTTTCATTCACCTGATAATGGTTTTGAGCAACCAAATATACGACGTAAATCGTTACACGACAAAGAATGCATTGCCACATGGACCCGCCAACTTTGGCGCATGGGTCCCACCTAAAAATTAGACCAAAGTTTAAAAAAAACTATTTTTGCCAAACCATTTTTCAAACCATTTCTTACAATCCCCCACATGAATGGAATTTGACGACAATGGAAATACAACAATATGCAGAATTTGTCGAAAGAGTATAAATCAAAAATATCTTGTATCACGATAGGTAGCTTGCGACCTTGAACCTTTCCTAATGTTAGCCTATCGGACGTACTAGCTAACCAATGGAACTGTTAGTGTAAGCCAAGACAATAGATTTCACACAAAATATTTTTTGACACATCGTGGTTCTCACGGTTGTGTTCATTTTGGCCTTGAACACTCCTGGTTATTCGTGAGTGAATCTAGAGAATTTAGCCCCTTCATTTTCATAGAACCGACCCCAGTTTGACACTCATATAGGTGATTCTTATTGTAAGTATCTTTTATACTTGTGTTGATTTTTATGCAAAAATTAAGATATAAGTACTCATTAAAAGCAAAACTTATCCTTAAACCCATGCATGCAACACATGTTGCAGATATCACTCTCACCATAGGAATGGGTAGAGAATTTTAATCTCTTAGTGATTTTTGGCGAGCCACACATAACTTAGTTGTCCCTTTGAACTTAGTTCTTGGGATCTCTAGTCATCTAGGTCGGGTTACCATTATGATAACTCTTATGTAATAGGCTTTTATCTCATCCCCTTCGATGAACTATACATTTACTCTTTTGTCAAACCTTTCGTTAATGGATCTGCAATATTCTCTTTAGATTTTATATAATCTATTGAGATTATCCCACTTGAGAGCAATTGCCTTACGGTATTATATCTATGATGAATATGTCGTGACTTACCATTATACATATGACTCTATACCCTGCCTATTGCAGATTGACTATCACAATGAATGCAAATAGTTGGCATAGGTTTTGGCCACATTGGAATGTCTTCTAAGAAGTGGCGAAGCCATTCTGCTTTTTCTCCTGATTTATCTAAAGTAATGAACTCTGATGTTATTGTGGATCGTGCAATGCATGTTTGTTTCGTGGATTTTCAAGAAACAGCAGCGCCTCCCAAAGTAAAGACATATCCATTAGTAGATTTTGAATCTTTAGTATCCGATATCTAATTTGCATCACAATAGCCTTCGAGTACTACTGGATATCATGTAAAGTTTAAGCCATGATCACAGGTAAATCTTAGATATCTAAGAACCCCGAATGATCGTTTTCCAATGGTCTTCTTTGGGGTTACTAGTGTACCTTGGCTGATAGCATAAGTCATATCAGGACGAGTGCAATTCATTAGGTACATTAGGCTTCCAATGATTTGGGAGTATTTTAATTGAGACAACACATCACCTTTATTTTTCGATAAATAAAAGCTAATGTCTACAGGTGTTCTTGCTACATTCACATCATCCTTCATATATTTACCAAGAATTTTCTCAATATAATGAGATTGTGATAATGTATATCTATTAGATGTTTTGGTAATATTCATTCATAATATAACTGTAACGATCTAGAATTTTTTTTCCCTCCAC